GCTTCTAATTCTCTAATTCCACCTTCAGCACTAAGCTGCCTCTGTCATCTATAAGATGAAGAGGTTGGACTGGTACCTTCATCTCATAAGGTTTTTTCAGTCTCTGAGCTCTGATTTCCACACTCTAGTCAGAATTCCGCGACTATGCTGTCTGGGCCTCCTGCTCCTGCCCCTTGCCACCAGTCTTGAGTCGTGTGTGGTTTTCATACCCTTTATACCCCGTTCCCCAATGCACCTTCCGGCTTTCATCCTCCGCATGCCCCAACCCTGAGCCCTTTGTGCTCTTTGGGAAATGGTGCACCGTGACACTCAGACTTCACTGTCTAAGGAACACTTTGTCTGCAAAAAAGTCTCTGTGGGCCAGCATCACATCTGCTGCTAGGATCAGCGGCCATAATTTTGGCTGTGCTTTTTAAATCTTCTTCCTATTCTTTTTTTTTTTTTAATATCATTTCAAGACTTGAAAAACTCCACACAACTTTGTGTGTTTTGTGATTGCTCGGCCCTAACACACCCAAAGGCCTTTGGAGGCTTATAAACCTTGCCGCCTGCCCGGAATTTGAGTGGTTCCCAAGAGGTGTCTGAAGGGACAGCTTGAGGAATAGAGGGTGGGACAGGTGCGACAGGAGTGGATGTGACCCAGAATCCCAGCAGCTTCACTTCAATCTGCTTTATATTAACTTCTGCATAAGATTTCATTTAAGAAAAGGGTTCCCTTACTTTAAAAAGTGTGAAAACCACTGGTCTCTCTCCTGTTACTAAGAAGAGATCAATGATGACCCTCCCTTAAGGTACCAAGAGAGGGCCAGGCACCTTCTAATTTCCTCACAGAGGTGAGAGGTAAGAAGCGTTCCATGTCAACGTGAGGAGGCTCTACTATGAATCACTCATTGGGCAGTGAGTCACAGCTGAAATCCCCCTACCCTGAATGCAAAAGAACCAAGGGAAATTTTACTTACCACAACCAAGAGCATCCCTGGGCCTCACGGGGCATTCCCACGAGAGCTGTGTGTCTGAGTTCCTATTTATGTCAAATCAGGCTTCTGCCTAATGAACATCTACCAAGAGATGAGCGGCCAGGATGGGCGTGTTAAATATGTGATGGCCACTGCTAAGCAATGTTCTGAATATACTGAATTTTGGTCTAGAGCTCCACTGTCCAATATAGTAGCTACTAGCTATTTAGATGTGAATATATTAAAATTAGATAAAATTTAAAAATCAGATCCTCAGTCAGACTAGCCACATTTTATGCGCTCAATACCTACATGGGCTGCTATACTGAACAGTGAAGGTGGAGATGTTCTCTAACAGTTCCATCTCTGCGGAAAGCTCTATTGGATAGTGCTAGAGTCACCCAATCTAATTCTTAACTATCCATTCGGCCAACCTGGGCTCCTCATCAGTCCCCACGCTGGTAGCTCCCTCCAGAGACCCCCAAAAGTTCCCCCGTCACATCCACCCTGGCCCTAGGATTCTCAGAGCAGCGAATTTGCAAGTGGCTGAATTAACATGTAAATGAGCATAAACGAGCTTGTAAGCACTTTATTCTCATTTCTGTATCTTGTTTGTCATGTCTGCCCTGCCTAGTCTCCGCTAACAGAGATAACAGACAGGGGTAATTTTTCCTAAAAATTTTCTAATTACATACATATTCCATTAGGGATCCTTAACTTCTACATAATAAAATTCAGACCTGGATCTGAGATCTTACACTCTTACACAAGAAGTGTTTAGTATAAACGCACATTAGAAACGGAATTTAAGAGCTGAAGGGGTTTTAGGAACCATCTTTTTTGACAACTTCACTTTTACAAAGGAGAATATAAGGCCCAGAGAAGTTCAGTAACTTGTCTAAGAAAACACAGTGACTCAGCTCACGCAGACAAACCTAGGTCACCTGGTTTTCACCGTAGGGCTTTTCTCACTTTTCAGTATTAAGGGGTCTTCTTATTGCTGGCTTCTTCAGTACCCTACAACTCTTTGCTGCTCCTGCATAGCAAGGCACTCCTAGGGTCTCATTGAAGCCCCCCCTATTCTGTGAACACTTTCTGAGTCACTCTTGAGTGTTTACTTAAGTTCAAGCATATTCTAAACAAATACTTCCCAAGGGGCAGTTTCCCTGAAAATGTCCCTTGGGCTTACAAAAGTCACCCAAGCAGTAAAAAGAAATAGAAACCTTACCGCTCCAGACTGAACAGCCTTCCTGTAGGTGGAGTTTCAGTCTCATAGCCAAATGTCAGAAGCACTCTTGTCTATAGCTTAACTTTCCATGCACTCGTGTCACAAGGGCCTGTCTTGTGATTTTTCTTATCTCCATAGTGTTTAACATATTAGCCTTGCAGTAGGGGCTCAGCTGGTACCTCTCAAGTGGGAATTAGACCTGAAAGACGTGGTCTGGATGATTGGACATGCTTGTGATAATTAGAACTCCAGATTCTCTTTCTGCTTATATTCTAGAACAGAAGTCAGCAGACTATGATCTCTGGGGCCAAATCTGGTCCACTGTCTGTTTTTGTAAATAAAGTTTTATTGGAACACAGCCACACTCATTTGTTTACATATTGTCTATGGCTGCTTTCCCGCCACAATAAGAGTTGAGTAGTTGCTACAGCAACCATATGACTTACAAGGCTAAAAAATATTTGCTCTCTGGCCCTTTATAGAAAAAGTTTGCAGACCCCTGGTCCAAAGTCACAGTAGACAAACCACTTTCCAAATCCTGCTTGCTATTTATTTCCAAATGATGCTTATGAGGTGGGGGAAAGGTCCAAATCCAGACAGATCTTGCCAAACCAAAACCATTATTATAGCCAATTATAGCTGTTTCCTTTTAAAACCAATGTACTTGTTAATAGAAAAAAGTTTTAAAAATATATTCAGGTGCTTTTCTCTTTTGCATTTTCTTGTTCTGATTTCCCCTCTATTTAGCCAGTTGCATGCATATGTTCTAAAGGATGGTCAGGACGGTCACAGCAGGAATGCAAAGAGAAAGAAAGAGTTGATATTTCGCTTCTGACATCCAGAATAAGGTTTTCCAGCAAGATGATATTTTTGATAGTCAGGTTCTGTTGAGAATGGGGATTTTCTAAGTTTCTTTATTTCCTCTCTGAATTATTATCATAGAGTTCCACACAAGGCACGTCCTAACCAAGTAGGAGGAGAAGAAAGACATAGCACACATTTTATCATCCTAGATTCTGGGGACTACGGAAGAAGCAAAGCAGAGAAAGAGAAAGGAGGCATTCAGACATGTGTCTCAGTCTTTCCTCTCTGAGCCAAAGTCATGGATAAGAGCATGGACTCTGGGAGCAGCCTGGTGGCACAGCGGTTACGTGTGCACGTTCTGCTCCAGCAGCCCAGGGTTCTCTGGTTCAGATCCCAGGTGCAGACCTACACACCGCTTGGCAAGCCATGCTGTGGCAGGCGTCCCACATATAAAGTAGAGGAAGATGGGCACGGATGTTAGGTCAGGGCCAGTCTTCCTCAGCAAAAAGAGGAGGATTGGCAGCAGGGCTAAGCTTCCTCAAAAAAAAAAAAAGCATGGATTTGGAGTCAGGGGATTGCCTGGGCAACGTGAAGTTGTGCTTCTGGTTCCTATCTGTAAAACAGTGGTAATAATATTACCTCCCTTGCAGAATTGTTATGAGAACTAAGTAAGTGAGTGTGTGTTAAAGTGCTTAGAATAATGCCATAGTTATGAGGGAAGGGAGTGATGGATATGACTGGTAGAATTTGGAAAAAACGCTGAGAAGAGAGTGAGCTCGACATCCCTCTCCTGTTTTGGAGTCTAGAAAGAGATCACCTCAAAGGCTGTCCCTGCACCAACCTGGAGCAGTCACATCGAAGCAAACTATTTCCAGAAGTGGGGCTGAGCTCACCTTCCTCCAGGATTGTTAGCAGTTCCCGGGTACCCAAGGCGGGACAGGAGCATTAGCTGAGTGTCTGGTAGGAGAGTTCCAGAGGGGATTATTTTAGAGGGTGGACACTGAGCTGGTAACCACTGGGATGGAAGCTTACATGAGTCACAGCAGGTTTCAGGATAGTCCACGTTACCATGAGAGCCAAGATAGGGCAGAGTCAACAAGGGAGCCCACTGGGTCCTTAAGGACCGAGAGAGAGTGGGCCATGAGTTATCCTGGCCACAGACATCAGCCACCAGTGCCAGCATGGGCCAAAGAACAGGCCCAGTCTCTCCTCAACAGTCGTCAATTCCGGAGGCAGCCCAGCCCAGCCCAGCAGCTCCATAGCAAAAACTAGCAGAGATAGAAAGCCCACAGGGTACATACAAGAGCCATTACTCCTCCACCACCAAGCATACATAATCACATCCCTCTCCCAGGCACCTAGATGCCATCTTTGTGGGAGAAGGGTAGAAATCCAAAAGACTGGGCATTCTATCTAAACCGAACTGTTTACCATTTAAATTAAATCCAACTATGCTTATTTAGATTAGACTGAAATATAATCCTCATCCCATTGTCCCACCCTCCTTCTTACCACTTGTCCAGGAGGGTGGGACTTACATAGACTTTTTAGATCATTTAACAGAAATAAAGAAATCCCCCGCCTTTGTTTTGCACGTTTGAGAGTGGTAAGAGTAAATTTGTGACGTTGCTACTCTTCTCCCTGCTCTTTAAACTCTGAACTGGGTTACTCCCCTGTAACCTCGCCCCCTTCATGCACACTCACAGACACACCCACAAGCTGATGTCTAAAACTAGCCTCAGGAACAGGCCAGGAAAGTTTTAGACTCTAGGTAAACAAGAGAAAAGCTTTCCAAAAAAAGACTCACTCCTGGTAGCTTTATTTTAAAAGTAGGAAAAATGCAACTACTTGCATAAACAGAATTTGAAAGTATCACTTTTTCCTGCTCTCTTTCTGGCTAATCAAGGGAGAAAATGTGGGCACCAAACAACCTGTCAATAAAAGTGTACTGTTTACTCACTTTGTAGAATAAGGCTATGCTTTGGGGCCTATTAGATAAAGTACTTTTTTTTTTTTTTTAACCTTTAGGGATAGAGGGAACAAGAGAAAGAACAACAGAAGTCCCTAAGTCTTGGAACATGCTGGAGGTCACCCACCGCCTTGGTCACTGGGGACCCTACTCAGGTCCACCAGTGTGAAGTCAGACAGCATCCTCAGGCTGTTTTTCAAGTTCCTTGACAAATCCGCAGGGTTTCTATGCCAGTAGTAAAGTTACTAGCTCAAAGCAGGCTGAGTGACCTCAGATGGCTCCTCTGGGACTGGAGGGGTATTTGAGCCACTGGAGAAAACGATGCTGTCACTACCAACTCAAAAGGTCACCTACCAATGTGCACCCCCCCCCCCCCCACAAACACACTTGCACGTGTATGGTTGTCTACACTTTCCCCAGGGGCTGAGGTCAAGACAGGCATCCCACATGAGATGGATGAATAGTAGGTCTGTCCTGCCAGCTGTGTGCTCTCTCCCACCCAAAGAAAGCAGCAGAGACTCAGACAGGAAAGCCTGGAATAGCCCACGCAGTCTGTTACCGGCACCCGGTGAGTGTGAAGGCGCTTGAGAGCAGCAGAAGATGGAATCAGAAAGAGAAATCATCAACCTCCAGGTAAGTTCTCTCTGGGAGAGAGAAGAGTGGAGTTGGGGAGCAGAGGCAGAGTGCAGGGAAGAAAGGATTAATATTTTTAGTCACTTGATATTCTCCCTCAGCCTATTCTCTTTCTTACTGATCTCCCTTCTCCAAACGCTCCGTAGGCTTTATCTCTTTATTTTCTCTTTCTCTCTGTTGCCCTCTCTGCTTCTTCACTTGTTTTGAAATACGTGAGAAATAGATTGCTTAAGTCCTTCTTGGTCTCTGCTTCCTCTTATCAATCAAAGAGCTAATTAGATTCCTGTTACCAGAAGATGATTTCACATTCTGCGCAGTGCTTGACCCCAAACCCCAGGACAGTAGAGACTTATTTGAGAGTTGCTGGGCAGTTGTCTGGAGACAAGGAAAGATAGGAGTTTTGGGGTTAGGAAGAAAGGCAGCTGGCCATCCTTGCATTTTACAGGTTGGAAAAGACTGGATCCATTCCTCAACTCTCTCCTCAAAGCTCTCCTGTGTAGGATAGAGTTTCTCATTCGGACAGGAAAAGAAAAGGAAATCAGTATAATCTACTAGGAGGAGGCAGACACATGTGTGCCTCCCTATCTGGGGCAGGCTTGGAGGGCATCAGAGGTTCCAGTCCACCACTGGAGGGGAAGGGAATGGGATGTTCTGGTGAGAGGAGAGTCATGTTGCTGGAATGGGCGCTCCCTGACTCTGTCTATTGAGTGGAGCCGAGTCAGTGCTTCTGTACGGGTCACAGAGGTTGTATGATAAATTTTCATAGAGTCGGACAATTAAAGAGTGGAGAAGGACTTTTGAGACCAAGAATTCTTGATGACAAAATCTTCAGTAGGGCCCCAGCATACGCTTCAGACTAAAGAGGAGCTGCTGCGTGTGTGTTGGGGAGGGTGGTGGCAGACTGGAGAGCCTCTACCCTTGGCCCCTCCACCCCTGAGACACCACCAGGGAAGTTCAAGGATTACTCGGAGTACCGTGTCAAAATCATTGATCTAGTACAACTGCACACCAGTGTCACTCTCCTCAATTTTCATCCAGCCCCAAACATAGTCCCAGCTTAGGGCTTGCTGGTTCCTCTGCCTGAAATGCTCTTTCCTTTGGCTGGTTCCTCCTAGTTCATTCGGTTCTTGGCTCAAATGTTACTGCCTCAGGGAGACCTTCCCTCTCCCCTCTGTAGAGGAAACCTCCTCCCAATTTGTCTTTATCATTTGTTTTATTTCTTCCATAGCACTGCTCACTCTCTGAAGTTATATTGTTTATTTACTGATTACTTATTTAATCTAATCCATCTCATTAGAACCTAAACTCCATTAGAGAAAGACCTCCTCTGCTTCATTCATTACCGGATCCCTAGTGCCCAGGGCAGTTCTTGGCACCCAGCAACTGGCATCCAGTTGCTCAGAAAATATTTGTTAAATGAATGAGTTAAGGACACCGTGAGTTAGAGGGCATCAATAATAGGCATAAGGTCCCTCAACCAGACTCGGACAGAGTCAAGGTTCCAACCCAGGTCTTCTGACCCTGGGGTGTTTTCTCTCTTTACTTCATCTAGTTCTTGCCTCCATTGGATCCTTAGTAGGAAGGAAGCAATATTGCTCATTTTCAGTCTCTGAAGAACAAGTTTCTCATGTGCTAATGGGTTAAACAATCCTGAGTTACAGGCTAAGGACCCTGCATTTGAAAGAAAGGTTCAGAAAGAAAGAGGTGGGTAGGACTTGGGAGGAGGAAATTACTGTCCAGGTCTTGACAAATGTCTATCTCTAGCAGGTAACTGAAGTGTTAGTGTACCCTTCACTTCTTCATTAGAGTCACTCTCTCTCTCCTAACATACCCTTTTATTCTGGTATCTTATTCACACCTTCTTTTGGTCATTTATTTATTTGATCGATCAGAAGGTTATCCACTAGTTTCCACAACTTCCCGTCCGGCTCTCTAGATCAAATGACGTCTTGGATCTTTTTTTGGAAACTAAGTCATTGTGGTTTTCCATGAAGAAGGCGAGCTTTGGTTAAGGACAGGTGGAGGGGTTTGTCCTCCAGTAGCATGCTTTTACCCTCTCCTCATGTGGCAGCTACCACATGAAATCCAGAGGAAAGACATATATAAAGACCCTAGAATATTATGGTATGAGTATTATGGTATGGGATGGTATGATATGAGTAATATTATATTAGTTCTTCCTTTTTTTTTCTGGATGGTTTCCAAAGAATGGTAAAGATCGATTGACTACAGCTAAGCCATTTCATCCATTCATTCAACTAATACTTACTGATCAATAACTATATATTTTACTCAATGCTTGCTAGGTATGGAAAAGTTATCTTAGTTCATGAGATCATTATACTGGGTTGAATTTCTACATGAGCTAAATTGATGTTGCTCTGTTTTATAGCCCCAAGACTAATTCTTAAACTTGCAAATGTGTTATTTACCCAGAAAGTACTGCTAGAAAGTATGTGAATGATTTACTGTTTTCCATTCTGAACACCTTAAAGCCCAATCCCAAATAATGATGGCACAGTACTTAAACCAGGGGAATGTTCTTTACCATATAAACATTGCTCTCCTCTTCATAATCATGATCTTTGAGACTTCATTTATGTTAAGCACGTAGAGTAACTCCTATTGATCACTACTCCATCACCAAAACAAACCAAACCAAACGAAGAACAAACATTTACTGAGCTTCAACACTGCACTAAGCACCAAATAAGCTATGGTACCTGACCTTAGAAAGCTTAGAATTAAGTGGAAGAAATATACACCATTAACTATAATATAAAGGAACTATTTAGTTAAAACAGTGTTTTTTAAAAAATGTGGTATAATTACCACCAATGGGTAGTAAAGGTACTACTAAGTTTTTATTGTAATCGCTATCTGTACAGTTTTAGTGTGTATCACAAAAAATGTAACTAATCCTTCAAACCTGTGATTTTAACATTTTTATTGGTTAGGATGAGGCTACAGTAAGCGGCACAGTGTGTTTTAACACCACATGTAACCTTGACATGGGCACATTCGCAATGTTTTAATAATTGTATCTGTCTCAACTGTTCAGAACTGTGGCTCGTTTGGATGATGTGAACCGTAGGTGTGTGTGTCTGTGCATATTGCTGCTTTCTTTTCACTAAAACACTGAAATCATGAACAAGGTACAAGTGAAGTTTGGGAAATTCCAGTCTAACAAATCATTAATTTAAGCCTCTATAATCAATGTTGTATCTGTTTCCCTAGGTCAAAAGCTAGGAGACTGGGATGGCTGGTAGTGGTACAATTGTAAAACGGGTGGTACAGCTGTTTTCACAGTGATGCACAGTACTCAAAGCAAGTTGCCTTTACCAGGTGAATGACTGGAACTGTGCCACTCTCTTTCTACAACCTGAGGCTGTAGCCTCCAAGCCTCTGTCTTTCTCCCTGCCCTTTGTGGAAGCTCCGCCAGGGAGCTAAGGCTGCTCTTCTTCCAGCCTCGAGACTTGTCTAGTTTCGATCTTTCCTCAGCTCCCAGAGTCAGGATGTGGGAAGGGTTGAGAAAGATCTCTTTCTTCCCCTTCAATCAGTGTTGCAAGCCCACCCCTAAGTAAGGAGTTCAAGCCCTCTCCTTGCTCCTTCCCAAGACGGAGCTCATCTTCTGCTTACAGAGTCCCCTAAACAGAGTCAGTCCTCTGCCCCCTTCTGTCCACCTGTGCGGGATGTTGAGGGAGATATGAAGATGGTCAAAGACGGTTTCCTAGTAGGGGAACTAAGACTCGTACATGCCAAATGCAAATTCAATGCAGAAAGGGTTAAGTACAGCAGGAGACAGGATGCAATGGGAGTGGAGGTAAAGATTACTTATGAATAGCAGACAGGCTTGTAGATAAAGTACTCTGAAAGTATTTTCAAATGGAAGTCTCAGAAAACAATTTGGTAGTATCTATCAAGAGACTTAAAAATGACCCAGTATGGGGTCGGCCTGGTGGCGCAGCAGTTAAGTTCACATGTTCCACTTTGGCGGCCCAGGGTTCACCAGTTCAGTTCCCAGGTGCAGACCTACGCACCACTTGTCAAGCCATGCTTGTATCAAGTAGAGGAAGATGGGTACGGATGTTAGCTCAGGGCCAGTCTTCCTTAGCAAAAAGAGGAGGATTGGTGGCAGATGTTAGCTCAAAGCTAATCTTCCTAAAAAAAAAAAAAAAAAAGACTGAGTAATCCCACTTCTAGAATCAGCCTAAGAAAATAATTAGACGTGTGTTCAGATATGCAAGGATGTTCACTGAAATATCATTTATAGCAAAAAATAGAGTGTCCAATAATGAAAGGATGGTTAAATAAATTTTGATACATCTCTGAATGGATATCATGGAATAATTTTTTTCAATGTTTAGGAAAAATATTTAAAGGAATACCAAAATGCTAATCATATAAATCAAAACAGTAGGATACAGAAGTGTGTAAACATTTTATCCCAAGTTCCTTTTAAAATCATATGGAATAAATATGTGCAGGAAAAGTATTTAGAAGAAATACACCAAAATGTTAATTCTGGTTATTTCTGGGTTATGCATGAATTTATTTTCTTCTTTTACTTTACTTTTGACTTTGCTTTTTATTTCCTTTACACATTTTCTACCAACCCATATATTATATTTAGAATAGGAAAAAACCCTGTAGTTTAAAAAAGAAAATTAGAGAAGCAGATGTGCCTGTATGCAAATAAGTGGATTTGTGAATATGAGCCATAGCAGATATATACACACAGATACACTTATTCCCTGTCTCTGATTACCGTGGAGAATAATCAGCTGACTAATCTTGTGTAAGTAGACACCTCATTTTAAGTGGTTGTCCCACTTTTTAAAAGTTTTACATAGTATCTCAACTCTTATTTTTCACTTCTGAGTATGCTCTATGAACAGACTTTAGAAATGTGAAATCCAGGGACAAACCTGTAGACCACTGAGTTACTGAATAGCCCCTTCGGGGGACAATATCCGACACAAGTAGGAGGGGGTGAGGTGGTCGCATCCCTGGTTTAGTTAGATCTTACACCTGGCAACTTCAGTAACATGTCCTACTACTACCTAAAGATAAATATAAAACTCACTTGTATTAAAGAGAGAGAGGAAGAGAGAGAGAGAGAGATGATAGCTAGCTAGACAGACAGATGACAGAAGGATTTGGGGAGGCAGTCACTGGGTGAACTGGGGATGAATAAATTAGAACAGGACTTCAGGAAGGACTTTTGAAGGATGACTAGGCCTCTGACCAGTGGAGGATATACCAGTGGTGAGAACAAAAGCTGGAGTTTGCAAATCACAGGGCATATTTGAGGAAGGACGAGGAGTCCAATTTGTCTAGACTCTAAGGTAAATGGAAGAAAAACAGTGTGAAATGCGATTATAAAGGTGGGTTGGGACCAGATCACAATGGACCTCGAAGGCCAAGTCACTCTCCTCGGGGACGAACTGACCAATGACTCTGGTGATTGGTGTTTTCTGAAGAAGCACCTGGGCTGTCAGGTGGAAGTCCTGGAAAGGGGTGGGAAAGGAGTAAAAAATGTGGCTGTGCCTCCCAAGACCTAACCCCCTCCCAGAATTGGACTTCTAAATGGGACCTGGAGGGGCCATTAGTCTAGCAGACCAAAGGTCTTGTTTTATAGAGGAGAAAACTGAGGTCAAGAGATGTGTGATGTTTAGTTGGGCCTTAGAAACCTGGCATATGATCTGCCCAAAGTCAGCCATGACACTGGACAGAGTATCCAAGGGACAACAGACAAACCATTCAGTAGGTACTGTACTTGTTGACTAATTCATATATTAAATTTGCCATGCACAGTAAAAGGGTCTTTCAAATACATGACGGAATGTAATCTTCCCAACCACTCAGTGGCCATTACTCCACCTTTAATGGAAGAGGAAATGAAGCTCAGAAAGGTCAAGTACAGGATCACAGAGGAGGAAAGTGGCAGGGCTAGGACTCAAACCTCGGTTTTCTTTGTATACTCTAACTCAGTGGTTTTCAAATATAGTCCCTGGAGCAGCAGTAGACTTTCACTTGGGAACTTGTTAGAAATGCAAATTCTTAGTCCCCACTCCAGACCTACTGAGTCAGAAACCCTGTGGACTGCATCTTAACCAATCCCTCAGTAATTCTGATGCACACTAAAGTTTCAGAAGCTTAGAGACACGGCTGATTGATTGGGGCGGGGGGCGGGGGGGGCATGGAGGCCCTAAGACTGGCCTCCTTTCTCCCAGGTAATCCTAGATACGCCAAAGGGTAGCACTTGCAGCAGACCTGGAGTAAGGCAGCCCACCCAGGATCAGGCAGGGATGTTGGCAAAGCAAGGGGCACAGGCTGGAGCAGATGCCAGGCAGGAGGAGCTGCCAGTCACTTTCTGAGAGCACAGAAGATGTAAGCCTCACGGGTGTACACTTCTCATCTCCATACAGTCACCACCACACTGTCTCTGCTACTACTTGCCTGCCACATACTTGTGGGGATTTACACCCGCTCTGATGAGAGAAGGTTTGGGATTCCTACTGCAGCCTGGGAAAGAGGTGTGTTGGACAGGCCTACTCCACCAGGGAGACTGAGCATGATGAAGGGCACCCAGCCCTGCCTCTCAGGGAAGGGAGAAAAGTACCTGCAGGCAAGAGTGGGACTTCCCCACAGCGCGCCTGGGCACAGACACCCGGGTAGGGGGTGCTTCTCTTCTATAGGGGTGGAGGAAAAAGAGCACAAGGGCATAGTATTCCCGAATAGTCTGCCCAGGACCTTGGGGATAGGAGCAAGGAGGGCAGGGGGCAGTGCTGAAACGTCAGCCAGGTGGGAGAGAGTTGCATCCTGCCATCTGGAGTGTCTCTGCAGAAGGGCTACCAGTGTCCTGAAACCAAGCTTTGGAGCCGGAAGCTGGCCCGTCTCCACGCCGAGAGAATGGAAAACCCCTCGGCCTCTCCAGAGGTGAACTCCCTGTTTCCACAACCCCCATCCAGGGAACCAGGGTTGTTTACCTCCACGGGTGAGGTCAGGCTTTGATCTTTGTTTTTGTGTGCTTGCCTTGTGCCCCTAGCACAGAGACCAGGGACCCATCATCTGCCTGGACACACATTTTCAGTCCTAATCTGTACACGGCCAGGCTGGTGTCATTCCTGCAGCCAGGACCTTTCTTCCTCAGCTGCAGTTTCCTAGAAGTGTGACCGCCCAGTGTTATGATTCAACCAGGGCTCAGGCCCTCGGGACAGCAGGGCGGGGTGGGGTTGGCAGTGTTGAACCCTTAATGCCACACCCTGTCTCTGTCTCTGTCTCTCTGGTTTTCACAGCAGTCTAGCTAATTTAATGCCATCCACATCCCTTGTTGTGAACTGCCTTCAAGAGGGTCGGGCTGGGGATGAGGAACAGAAATCTTGTGGAGCCCGTGATTCGTCCCGATTGCCACAACAGAATCTCTGTGAACCAGATCCTGGGCTGTTCCAGGCAACCGCGGGGAAGCCAGTGCCTTCCTGGCCCAGGGAGCCTCGAGGCTGCAGAGCTCTGTGCTTTCTGGCCCTCGAGGAGCAGTCAGCAGGACAGAGCCCGAAACCGTCTGTAAAAGCTGGAGTTTTCTCCTCTCCATGCAGGAGAGAAATGCATCCTGGCAGTTGTGGGGGTAGCTTGAAGAGGAGGTAGGGTGGGATGGAGGGGAGCAGAGGGTAGACAAGCTTTCTGCTCGATACAGTTTCCACAGGTGTTCCCAAACCCCAAGGGTTCAGCGTGCCTGTGCTGTCTCCACATGCTCTTCACAGTAGCAGCAGCCAGCAGGGGGCTGTCACCGTGAGACTGCGTGTGAGTGAGGGACACAGAGAGAGAAAGAGACGGAGAGGGACGGAGACAGAGACCAGGGCTGTTGTTCTGTTTTCCACTCTCCGTGTGATCTGCAGTATCTTTCCTCCTCCCATGAGAAGTCAGCCTCCTCCCCCACCATCCTGATGTGACCTACTTATCTACTCCCTTTAAAGGGAGGTACCCTGGAAGGCAGCCCAGGCCAGACAGGGTGCTTCTGTCTGAGTCTCAAAGAGACAAGTTCTTTAACAAGGGAAATCCAGGAGCTGTCAAATCGTGGGGCAAGGTAGGGGGGAGGTTAGGCAAAGTTGAGGAAGAAGGGAAATGGAGGTCGGAAGAGCCTGAGGAGCGTGTTCAGTGGCGTGCCACTGGCCATTACGACTGATTCGTGCCATGACTAAGGGAAGAGGGTTTGGCCCTGCCAGAGGGTGGTGCGAGCGGCAGCCGTTGGCGGCGGGGACCGTGCACAAACAGAAGCCAAAGCAAATCCCAGCTCTTGCAGGTTTCCCACTGTCTGCCCCTAGTTCACTGAGCTATCTGACCCCTGAGTCCCAGTTTCTTTCTCTGCTAAATGGGGATAATAATTTCCACCGCAGAGGCTGATGAAAACATGAAGTGATTTACCCCACCCTCAGTTCCCTCCTAAGGAAGACTCAGCTAGGTCTGAGAACAATGGCACAAATGCCATAACAGCTACCATCTATTTGTAAGTCCTGTTCTGGGGGAGGCGCTGTGTGTAGAGACTCTCTCACTTAATTCTGTGAAGAATGGATTATGCCCATTTTACCGACAAGGAACCTGAGGCTCAGAGAAGTTACATCACTTACGCAAAGTCACACAGCTCGCAGGGAGCACAGCTGAGGTTCGCACTCAGGCTAGATTCAAGGCGCGTGCTCTTAAACACCTCCCCTAGACTGTAACATCACTGGTCTTCTGAGAAAGGAGTTGCCAAAACTCTTGTCCCCAAATCTTAAGTAAGTTTAGAATGCTGAGTCAGATTGGGGCCGGTGGAATCAAAGAATAATTGGGTTGTATAATGCTATCATTTTATGCTAATCCTGGCTCTGAGGAGAGATTGTTCTGCCGCCTGGAAGAAGATCAACGCCAGTCTGGTCTCTAGCTGTGGGGCCTGCCCCTGGCCTCTCTCCAATCCGCTCTCCTTCTGTCAGTGGCCCCCAGCTGCCCTCAGGACTACATCGAAACCTGTCCTGGCCCTGGTCGGCCCGAGGCTTGGGGTCCCTACTCCGTTTTTTATCAAATGTATTAAAAATGTATTAAAACATACCCATATCACTCACTAAATATGAATTTTTTTCATGTAAAAATTTTGAAAAGATTTGAATTTTTGGAATGATTACTTTAAATGGTCAGTTTTCAAATGTTAAGTGCCAGTAAATTTTTTTCAGGTCTCAAATATTTGGGGCCTTTGTAAAGCTTGTGGCGCTAAGTCCTGTGCCTAACTGGTGAAACAGCCGCGAGGTGGCCCGTCCCCTGCTCCTGTGTGCTGGGCTTTAGGAAGTACAGTTTCCTTGGCCTAGAATTTTGTTTCTCCTTCTCAATGTACCCTGCTCACCCCATTCTCCCCTCCCTCATTGCCCTGCAGTTTATTTACTTTGACCTAAGATCATGTATGCTTAATCTCTTAGTTTCCTCGTATGTACAATAGGAATAATAGTGGTACCTACCTCACAGGGCTCTAAGAGGATGAAATAAGTTAATACCCCAAAGCCTGGCTACACGAAGTATGATTCATGGACCATCATCTGGGAGATAGTTAGAAATGCAGTATCTCGGGCTCCACCCCAGATGTCCTGAATCGGAATCTGCTACTTGGCAAGATGCCCAGGTGATTCGAAAGCACATTTAAGCTTGAGGAGCACGAACCGAAGTGCTTAGAACAATGCCTGTTAGATAATAGGCACTCAATAAATGATACCATTGTTATTATTATTGTCATGATTATTAAAGGCCAGGTTGTTACAGTTGTCTCCAGTGTCCTTTCTGCCTTACTTTTAACTTCCCAACTCTAGTTGGGTGGTTTCCCCGTGGAGTTCCTGGGGAACGCTGGCATCCTGGGAGCTGGACCTTGGCATTTCAGCTAAATGCTGCAGTTACAGTCAAGACGTGACCCCTGCACTCAGGAGCCTCCCTCCATCTGCAGAGGGAGATAGACAAGGAAGCAGGCGATTGCAATAGGTGGTGTGAGAAGGGCTACCAGATAAGGGATGTGGGGGCGCTGCAGGAGCCAGCTGCAGGCTGGTGGGGCCAAGGAAAGTGCTATTTAATCTCAGACCTGAAAGAGGACCTGGTAACTCAAGATTCCCGGAGAAGTAGCAGCATGGTCTCTCCTTAAATAGTAGGCCGACTGCTCCCACAGCTAAGAGGGCCTGCAGGCCTTTCACTTAGCTCCAGGGAGTGCTCGCCGCCCTGCTGTGTGCTGCCCAGGCAAACAGGGGGAGCCGTGGGGGTGGGAGTCTAGACGCTACTTGGCGTCCAGGTATGAAGCCCAGCCACTTACAAAAAACTCGGGCTTCGTTGTAAACCAGAACCTCAGGAGTTGTAAAATTCCTACTCTCTCCAAACCTTGGTTTCCTCATTGCCAGGACTGGAATATCGATACACCCGCTGCAGGGTTCCTGCGAGGATTCGTGAGGGGACGAGAGCCAGGTGCAGGCGGCGGCGGGGGCAGGCGGGCGCTGCTCCTCGGCTCCCTTTGTCTGCTTGTGAACTGGGCGGCAGCCGGGGCTTTAGGCCCGAGGGCTGGAGCTTCCGAACCCGCAGGCGCTTCTCCTGAGGACTGAAAAATGCCGCCCGCCCTTCCCTCCCCGCCGGGGCCTGCAGGCTGCGACGGGCCGCCGCCCTGCGGAGTCGCCGCCCGCAGAGGCCGGGACCGGCTGGGAGGGAGGGGCTCGGCCAGGCCCCGGGGCGAGTGGCGCTGCAGGGCGAAAAAGGCTCCCCGTGTTGCCGGAGCCCGGAGCCCGGAGCAGCCCGGGACCGATGCTCCGAAAGCTGCGAACGGCCCGGCGAACCTCGGGCAGCAGAGGCGGGGCGTCCCCGGGCAGGGACTTCGTGGACATGTGACAGCTTCTCGTAAGGAGGAGCCCGCGTCCTCTGAGGTGGCCCGCCGCTGCCCAAACCCTGGGGGAGGCCGGCGAGGCTGAGCGCAGAGGGCACACAGGGGGCGGCCCCGGCCTGGAGCTGTTGTTCCGCGCCGGCCCCTTCCCCCACCTCTCGCCCCCTCCCCCCTCCTCTCGCCCCTCCCCCCGCCCGAGGCCGGGGAAGCGTCTGCTTTTTCTAAGGCAGATCAGCCCCCTCCCCACCCAGCTCGCCCGCGCGCCCCGTGGACCGGCGGCCGGCTCCCGGCGGGAGGCGGGCAGGCAGCTCCCGCGTGGGTGGAGCCCACTCTGGGCTATTTCGGTTCCTTCTTCGCCCGGGAGTCCTTGGTTTCCTGCCGTTTCCCCTAGGCTTCCCTTATGTAATTAATAATAACAGCTACCACTGGCTGGGCGCTTACTTTATATCAAGCAGGCACCTTACGTGTATTTTTTTTCTGACTTTTCAGGGTAACTGTGTTGGTATCATTAACCCCAATTTACAGGTGAGAAAATGTTCAGAGCAGTTAATTTGCGGAATGTCACAGCTAGTAAGGGGTTCAACCGGGATTCACATCCCAGGCTGTCCACTTTTGCCCCCTGCCATGCCCTCTAGGGGGTGGCGGGGTGAAGGCCCATGCCAGCACCATGTTGGAGAATGGTGGTGCTCAGCTAAATTATAACCCTAAAGCCACGTTGTCGTCAAAGATATTTTTGGGGCCAGACTAGGAAATAAGCTAGCTCTATGGAAATATTAGAAAAGATTACCCCTAGAGCCTGTTTCTTTAGCACAGGGATCTAATCAAAGCTAGTGATCTGGAGTTCTTTCCGGACTCCCCATGAGAAGCATCCTGGCTTGGGCCACACTCCTCCTCCCACCCTCATGCCCCTTCTCCACCCCTTCACCCTGCCAAGAAAGAGCAAGGATTTGCATTTGTCCAAAGCCTCTCTCATTGGAACTCACCTGCCAATCAGGCGTAAACATCATTACTCCAGAGAAGGGAGAAGTGAGGCACCGGGAGTAATTCGTGCCATCGCTTTCCTGTCCTCAGGGTGCTTGAGAAGGATGACAGTCTCCCAGGTCCTGTCCTACTTGTCCCCACAGAAGAGACACATCCGTGTCCCCAGAACAACGCCTTCTGGACTGTTTGAAGAGTAAGTGGTAGCTTTGAAAAGCAGAGAGCATTAGACACATGGAAGATGGGGTTTGTTTTGATGAGACATCAGTAAGGCAATGACTGGTTTTTATTATTAAAAAATAGTACAAGCAAATCGTCAAACAATTCCACTTCATACACGTAATTACATAAGAGAAAAGCCTGAAAGTCACCTGGAGGACCCAAACCTTAAGATCCCTAGACACAGGTATGCAAACAATGTGTGAAGATCCTTATCCCCATCTTCAACCTACATCCCTCCATTCGTCTGGTACTGCAGTTGGGAGAAGTCTGCAGCCGCAGAGAGGGTGGGAGGGGAAAATTCTCCTTTTACATGTGAGTAAACACAATGCAAACAGGATATTGAAAGATAAAAAATACAGTTAAAGGGGAGGAGGAATGGAAGTTACCAGTCCCCTGGGATGAGTTAATGACTGTAGCTGAGCACCGATGGTCCTGGAGCCGTGGAGAGGGAGGGCTGAGCAGCCACAGTGCTGTTCCTCCGGGTGTTGTATTAGAAGAACTACATTTTTTTTCTCCGGCCAGAAGACCTGATATCTAGCCTTGTTTAAAGCTTCAGTCTCCATATTTGTAAAATAAGGACTTTGGATGTGATGGTTCCTAAGCTGCCCCCAAGTTGGGAAGCTGCCGGTTCTGCAGTGGCCAGATATTTTCATTAAGTGATGCTCAACTCCTCCATCTCAATAACGTGTCCATCATCTGACTAACTGCTCAGCTTTCCTGCTGTATGAGGTCATCGCTGCCAGTTCCAAGTGCGTTTGGCTGCCAGAGGACAAACATTCCATGTGTGAACTGAGGATATATATCGTTGTGACAATAAGTCTGGCAAATTTGAGGCATGCTGATTTAATCTGAAACAGCAGTAAACGTGGTGCAGTCTCCAGTGCGCCCCTGGGGACCTGGGCCTGGGCCTCCTAATTCTCTTTCAGGCAGCATCAATCTTACTGCCTCAGGGCTTGAGGAGCCAAGAATCAGAGTCCTAGAAACCTTAGGCCTGCCCACACTCTTCAAAAAGTTGTCGGCTCCACTCCCTCCCTTCGGTCAGGTGGGATGCCTTACACCTCTGTCATCAGCCTCGTCTGTTAAGCTGTGCTTCTGCTTGACATGATCCACAGCTGGGGCTAAAACTGTCCTCAGGGGGCACCTGCCGCGGAAGGCTCTGTGTGTTGCATGACTAAATACGGTCGCGGCAAATGTCATGATCTCTCAGGAACAGCCCGCACACAGTTTCCAGAAGGCATCAGCAGCTCCTTATAGGTACTGCAAACCTTCCAATCCATAGATGAAGCAGAGGTTAGGGTAGAGAACGGGATTTTGTTTTCAGCTAATTCTCATGCAGTGTCCTGAGTGCCCTCATTGCAGCATAAGAAAGATGTAGAAACACAGAGAAGGGAGGAAAGGGGTGGGGAAGGGGGTGCATTTATCGAACACCTTCAGCACAGTGGTTCGGAATACAGGCTCTGGAGGTAGACTGCTTGGGCTTGAATCCTGAGTCTTCTACTTCCTTGCTGTGCTGTCTAACCTATGGCAAATTACTTAACCTCTCTGTGCTAAGTTTCTTATAGGACTATTAGGAGGGTGAAATTAATTAATTCATGTAAAGCACTAACAACGCTGCCTGCTCCATTTCTGTGCTGTACATGTGTGATGATTGTAGCGAGTCCTATGCTAACTGCCTTACACATGTTCTTTGTTTAATGTTAACAATTCCTTTTGAAAAGGAAAATACAGGAAATTACTGAGGTCTACTACCCTAGTCATAACAATGGCTGTGACTAGACATATATATGAGGAAGGAACTAAACAGACATATGGACAAAGCCCTTGTTTCTTCTAGTCCTTTCTACATAAAGGTTTTCATACTGTGGCTGATTGCTTTTTTTTTGACACAATAACGTGAATTGGAAATCTCTCTCTGTCAGAATGTGTGCATGTGCCTCATTGTTTTTAACTGCTGCGCAGTACTACATAATACGGATTGCCACTAGATTATTTACACGTGAGTAATGTTTACTGTGTACAGTACAGGATGTGGGAAGATGGATAGGTGGCAAAGCGGCATAGAGCATGGTTCCCCAAGAAGCTTGTAATTTTGGGGGCGAATTTGGGACTTAGACAAAATAATCAGAGACCAATATAAGAAAGTATGTAATAAAATATACAATTAAATTTAAAACTGTCAATGCTAGTGATTTAATAGGAAACAAGAACATATTCTATATATCGGTGGATCGAAGGGCCTGCCTCCTGGAAGCCCTGGCTGGGATAGAGAGGAATTTACCCATTAGTGCTTCCAGCCCCATTGAAAAATTACTCAAGACAAGGAGGACAAGTCTACACCCGTTAACAAGCAGAGCCACACGCGGGTGTCTCCACTGGAGGTGAATGCATGGCCTAGGCGTTCCTGCGACTCGCAGTGCCTGCGGGCAGCACCTTCCTCCTGAAGCAGGGCAGGGGATTCCTCCTGTCTGTCTGCTCACAGAGGCTCGTGTTCTTCTCCGTGAATCCCAAGCGGTGCGGATCCAAGGCACAGAGACGCTGTTCAAGGAGCCAGAATGAGAACAATCTTTTCTGAGGTCCTCAGTGCTTTCTCTGGCCCTGCTTCCTTGGGAAAAATTAATGATTGTGAGAGCACTTGCTCCATAGGGCCAAGCTGGGGGCTTTCTACGCTTAGGTCTTCCCAAGCTTTCGCCAAGGCTGTAGTTCTTTTACCCCACCCCTAAGCACTGATCACTACCTGAAGCCGGAACACCTGGCTGCCACAGAGACAGACCGTGTCAAAGCCCGCGCTTGACATTGCTCCTGCAAGGCCCTACCCAGCAGCGTGCTAATCACCTTGGTTGGAGTAAACCTTTTGACCCCCTCCTTGACTACTTATACCTCCATGTATGCCTTTCTCTCTGCACTGATGGGACAGCCAATAGTCAATTAATAGAAAAACATTTGCTGGGCGTTTCCTACGTATTTAGCTCTGTACAAAACACGGGGCTGGGGATTTTGGAGGAGGGAGGGTCATAACAAAAGTGAGGCATGGCCTTGCCCTTGGGAGCTTAAGACTTTGGGTACACACAAGAACTCAAAACAGTAGCTCCTGCAGTGGTCAGCGTAAGTGGCAGACAGGACGTGCTGCAGGAGAGCAGAAAAGCAACCCCGGAAAGGAAATGGAGGGCCCTGCAAAGGGTCACTGTTGACAAAAGCCTCTATTCTTACCTCCCAAAGAATCCATGTCAGCTCCCTCTGGCAACCTTGGGGAGTGAGTTCAGTAAGACAGGATGACCCAATGTGGCAAACTGATCAACATTTTGCTCACAGATTCACGGAAAGTCAGTGCTTCCCTGGGCATTTGGGAACCGAAATGACTATCCCATTTTTTCTTCCAACTTTTTGTTTTTCAGTACAGAAAAGTGGAAAGACTAGTATAATGACTCTCCTTAAACCCTTCACCTACATTCGTCAATTTTGCCATATTTATTGTCTCTCTTTCTATAGGTACACATTCCCCTCTGTTTGAAAGGAAGTTGCAGACCTCATCCCTAAATACTTCAGTGTATATCTTCTAAAAAAGGGGTTCTCCTACATAACCGCAGTATCATTATCACTCTGAAAAAATTTAACGGTGATAGACAGTTTATATTCACTTTTCCCAATTGTCCACCCAGCAATGCCCTCGATGGCTGTTTTCCTTTTCTGAAATTAGAATACAATCGAGGAATAGTCGTTGCATTGGGATGTCCCGGCTCTGAAGTCTTTTTTTAAACTGTCACAGCACCCCACTCCCTTTATCTGTCCTTTCATCTTCTTGACATTTTGGAACAGTGCAGGTCAGTCATTCTGGAGAATGACCCGCAATTTGGATTTGTCTGATTGTTTCCTCATGATTGGATTCTGGTTCTATTTCTTTTTATTTTTTAATTATTGTGGCAAAAATCTATACCACAAAATTTACCTTTTTAACCGTCTTAAGTGC